TGAAATATGTGGGCTTTATATAACGTGGGCCAATGACCGTAAACAATGAATAAAATATCTACCTACCTCTTATTAATGAAGGCTGGAAATCCAACGATAAAAGAACATCTATTACTCTGCTTTATTTGAAAAAGTGGTTTGTTTCAGACTCCCAAGGGTCTAACAGTAGGCTCGAGGTGGTAAAACCAGAAATGACTCGTTACTTACCAAATTTTACCACCAGACTGCTTCTTGTGCTATTTTATTGTCTCGCAAACAAACTAGAAATGCCTGCCGCTTCGCCTCTTCTATTTCCGGGACAGCCTCCTTTTCGATACACTCGGGAAGGTGACGTCATCATCGGGGGAATCCTCTCCGGCTTCGGGTACAACGTCAGTGGCTTGTGTAACCGTACTCTTTTCACGGACTCTTCTTTCCACTTCTCCGAGGGCGTGGTCCACGCGATAGAAAGAGTCAACCGAAACTCGTCCATTCTGCCCGGGGTCACTCTGGGCTTCGCCATTTTGGATGACTGCATGAAAGAGAACACGGCCGCCGTACAGGCAATGACCTTCGTGAAAAGAGCGGGGAAATCTTTGCAAATTCTGGCGAGAAACGACAACAACAACAGCAGCAGCAGTGACAACAACAACAGCAACACTTTTTGCAGGTTCGACCTCAACGCAAGCACCATCACTAACGCCGAATTTGGCGTTAACCACACGTCATGTTTCGTGGCATCGCAAGATGTTTGTCCTGCGCAGTACGCCGGAAGTTCGGACAAGCCGGAAGGTGACGAGCTTCCGGTGTATGACGTCATCGGCGTAATCGGCGCTCTGCGCAGCTCCAGCAGCCAAGCTGCGTCCCTGGTGCTGGGCCCGGCACAGATTCCGCTCATCAGCTTCGCCTCAACCAGCGAGGAGCTGAGTCACAAGGCCCTCTACCCTTACTTCATGAGGGTCATCCCTTCGGACAACTATCTGGTCAGTTACTGCCTGTGTTTGTTTGTTTGTTTGTTTGTTTGTTTGTTTGTTTGTTTGTTTTTGTTTCTTTTTTGTCTTTGTTTGTTTTGTTTGAGTATTTGTTAGTTTGTTTGTTACCTCGGTTGTTTGTTTCTTAGTTTGTTCCTTCGTTTGTTTATGTTTGTTTGTTAGCCATTTTGTTTGCCTGAGTGTTTACCTTAATAGGGTTATCCGTCTGACAACTATCATCAGTTAGTACCTTCCTTTGTTTGTTTGTTTTGGTTCGTTTATTCGTTTATCTATTTGTTTGTTAATCTGTTTGTTTAAATCTCTGTTTGTTTGAGTGTTTACTTCATGATGGTCATCCCATTCGAAAACTGTCCGGTCAGTTATTGTGTGTGCGTGTGTCAGTGTGTTTGTGTGTGTGAGTGTGGCGTGTGTGTGTGTGTGTGTGTGTGTGTGTGTGTGTGTGTGTGTGTGTGTGTGTGTGTGTGTGTGTGTGTGTATGTGTGTGTGTGTGTGTGGTTTATCTCCCTCATTGTCTTATAAGTATCTCTCTGTGCTTTGGTATCTCGATCTAACGTTCATCTCGAGCAGGACCTAACCAAGTTGGAAGAGAGCTTTAACAAATTCAATAACAGCACAAGTTCAAGAATGTCCAATTGGGGATTCGAACTATAGTCACCCCCCTCCGCAACCGAATATAAAACTGAGGTTAGGGCCCCCTTTCATGATAAACAAGCGCGCGCGTGTGGGGG